TAAGTAGGTCTGGGGCACATTACATTTTATTTATGCCCATTAAACTCGTTATATTTCGGCTTTTTCATTGATATTGACTATCTTTACTGTAGTCTGGCTTTTTCCAGCAACAAGTGATACTTTTTCGATGTGGGCTGTGACCCTCCAGTCGCAACCCAAGGCCTTACATCGCTTGGTGACCGAAGGGTCGTCTTGCACCATATGCACTGAGGCACTCGTTTAACTTCGAGCTGAAATAATGTCGAATTTGACTGGCCACCAATCTGCCTCTACCTAGCCTTTCATGCCTTAGTGGGCGTGGCACCCTGATAAACTAATTAAGGTTAGTTCGTATGTACTTGGTACGATTCACACAAGGCGTACGTTACCGACTGTTCCATCACTATTGCCGATCACTAGTATGTCCTAAGCTTTTCAATAACGCACTGATACCTCTCTGTAGACATTATTATTATTATTGCCCACGCACCATTTCAGGGTGTCTATGCACCCGCATGCCTACCTACTCGCCCTAGTGTTTTATACGGCGAATGGTCAGCGTTTCGGGTTGTGCCGCCGTCCCTATGTGAAGGTCGTCTTTTGTTTTGCTCGTCATGCGTGCACTAGCGCTCACATTTATGCAACATTTCCGCTCGCCTCACCACCGCCCTTTGGGCGCATTTTGATTGGTTGGTCGTTTGAGGCAATGCATTGTGGGAGAATACGTCGGTCAAATCTGCCAACTGCAAGTGATGGTCACCGAATGCTCCCATGCCACCGAACTTGACGTACTCAACCACCCGGAGGCAGTGGGTTATGCTATCACGGATTGGACTTTATCTTAATGCATATAAGCTCATCGCCTGCGCTGACTATATATTGTACAAAGTCCTTCCTTGAGAGAGGTTTTCTAGTCCTTGGTAAAATTAAGTCTATCAGCAAGGACAAAACCGTGTTTGTAACCTGTAAACGTGGTCAGTACGCCCACCTACCGCCTCTTTAAACTTCGGTTTTCATCGGTTTATCCTGATAGACATTCGCTGTGCCTTCTCCCTACTTCGTTTATGGTACTTTGACACTTTTTCCACTCTACTTTTTGATAACCCTCTAACGACTATTTGACCGTCGTTTCCGCCAATGTCCACTATTTCTCTATCATCGCGATACGTAGCACTGCATTTATAACCAGTTTACTTTAACCCCCAAACTGTGTCTCCGTACCGTCGAGTACGCGCTTTGGAGGATTATTAGTGCTGTATAAGGGCCAGAGCAGAGCGACGTAACACAAGCATTCGGAAGAACCTGTATCATTAGCTGCTGAAGAATAATTTGCTCAGTGTCAGCTGGGTATTCGCTGCAGCGATTAATCAATGAAAAATTAGTAATTTATCCAAAAATCGTGATAGTTGTTATCTCTATGTACGGAAAAAATCATAGATAAAAAGGCTTATTCAAAGTCCAATCAAAAGTTGATGGTTCAAACAAGGCCGTTAGTTATTTGAGCTAAGAGTCGCCTGGAACCTAGGCCTTAAGTAATTAATAAAACGGCAGTCATCGAGTAACTTGTCTGTGTAGCTCCAACGAGGCTGCCAACTATCTCGATACGTGGCGGCGTTTTCCACTCAGCATGCCTTGTTTTGTCGAAACATATGCGCAGCCATAAC